TGAGACCACAAATTCTTCAGTGTCACCTCATAAACAGCGAAAGAAATAGCTGAGGTGAACCCCTTGCAGTCTTTGCTTGCGGTGGACCCAATTTTCTCCCACCTCCTCTAGTCCCTGTATCCTTGTAACTTTGAAGTCCAGCCAGCTTTGAAAAAGGCTGCAATCTCCCTGCCATGACCAGGCAGAGGATTAGCCAAGCCCTGCAGGACCGAGTGGAAAGAGGACGAAAGAGGGCTGGAGGAGGAGTAACGCCATTTTCCACAACGGTTGTATATGTGCAAGCAGCTCTCCCTCCAGCCAGAGCCGTGGGGGATTAGCAAGCTACTAAGGAAGCAGAAAACAGACCTCCAAGCCCCCTTTTTCATGACTTCCACAGAAACCAATTTACAGCAGAGAACTGGGGGAGGCCGCTAATTCTCCCCATAACCGCCTCCTGCTTCAACTCAAAATCCTTGTTGTGTCACTCACAAAAATCTGCTTTTGTGAAACTGCAAACATTTTCAGAATACCAAACTCAAGGAAGCACGCATCTACAAAGGATTCAATTATTGATATGGGAACTTCATTGACTCAAAAGTAACATTTCAATGTTCACAGAGCAGGGGAAAATAAGCAGTTAAGCTCCTAATCTCACCATCACACTTGATACGATCGGTCACGGGGGAAGTCACCCTGGAAAGTTTGTTTTCCCATTGTGAGGCAAAACAAAAGAGATTACTCATCTTTTATCCATATGAAGTGGTAATATTTGTCTACACTTTGAGCTTGTGCATTTGCAAGTTGTGCATTCATTGCATCACAAACAAAATGCATTAAAAGCAGACCGTATTGTGCAGTGTGCTAAGTACGTGTCTAAATGTGTCACAGTGAGCTAATGACAGAAGCGTACGTTTCAGAGGAACTTAGCAAAGAGGTCAGGACATTTCCTCTACGAGCGGAGGAATCCAAAAAGACTATCAAGTATTTACCAGTTACGATACAACAATGAACACATTACCAGCACCTCATTGAACTTAGTAAATCTACAGGATCTCAGGATATAATACAGCAGCGAGTAACAGCAGCATAGCTTAAAAGAAGCAACAATGAGCCTTGGTTTAAAAGAAAAGGCAGATCCATATACTGCTGCTTTCCCATCAGCGCTTTTCAAGTAATGGGGTCTTTTGTCTTATCTGTGACTGAAAGGAGCTTGAGGACTTTGGCCTTCATCCCTTTGTTGTTACAGAGTCTCTTGTGGAAACGGCGGATTGGCCCATAGGCGTGGGTGTGTGAGGAAGAGCTAGGCGGCCATGCAAGCACATCAGACTTCAGCGGTCTTAATAAAGCTTCCCTCTATCCACCCCTGAGATCTCCTCACCCCAATTATTCGCCTGACACCTCTACCCTCCTCCATCTCCTCTTATTTCTCACAGCAACCCCCCCCACCCTCAGCTCACCATCCAGTTCCCAGCTCTGATCAAGGCTGTCCCTTTGCTGTGCTCAAAGCCCCAGAGGCCTGAACAATATCAGGCTGCTGGTGGCGTTTGCTTCACAGTCTGCTGCTTGAATTGCATCAGGAGTGTGTCTCTTCTAGTATTGACACAAAATCACTACTGTTCAGCCAGCGACAGTGGAAAGTTCACTCCAAATTTAAAATAAAGTCTCGTTTCTTTCCACGATCCAGAGAGAATCAAGAAGACGTGACCAAATAAGATATTCTCACAGAAACCCTTAAACACTGGGTTTAAGAATGCGCATGCTGACACCTGATACTTCCCAGTGTTTAGAGAGCCCAACATTGCACAGTGAAGCAAAGATGAACAAGACTCTTAACTTATGTTTACATTCAGTTTCTTTGTCTATTATTAACTGGCATGAATCGTAAACTATGGAAAATAGCATAAATAAATCCATCATGCATCTGTATTCACACATAAAATGCAGTTCAGTACTTTTCTAGACATTTTCTGATGCTGGTGCAAACATCCAAAACAGTTTGTTGGA